CAGAGACAACCCAAGAGCTGCCAGTATTAAAGGGTCTATAAATAAAAAAGTTCTTCCCCAGTACCTCTTTCAAACTGTTGTTGTCTCAAAATAAACTCCAGTTAACTATCAAGGCGCTAGAATTGTTTGAGATTTACCAGAGAGAAATCATAAAAGCCAAAGGCTGTGGCAGGACTTGTAGAAAGCTTTTTTAGAGCTGTATTTCACTTCAGTATAAGGCTTGTGCTGCAGAGGGCTGTTTACTTGGAAGATGTCAGCACCAGAACATTGTAATTGAGTTACCCAAGTATCCCGAGAATGTGTTTTTATTCATAATCCTCCAGTATTGCAAGGCTCAAGAGAACTTATTGCTAACTTTAAAACAAGAGAGTCAAAATGGGTTATTAGATTGGAGACACAGTGCCCACAGGAATTTAATAATGGAGGATGGCATGGCAGGGGTTTGTTGTTAAATGTAAATGTAAAAATGGTAAGAATGTAAGAAATCAGGAAATAAACTCACTTCTTGTCTGGTGCTTCCCATGGTGGATCAGCTGTTCCATCCCTAAAACCAAGCACCTTAAACAGCAGCAGCAAAGTTAAAAATGAAATGTCATATCTAGGTCTGGTGGAAGGTGTCCTTGCCCATGGCACAGTGTTGGATGGTCTTTTAGCTCCCAGCTCAAACCATTCTGTGATTCTCTGATATTCCTCTGCCTTGGTAGCTCTTGGGGTCTCTGCTGTTGTCTCAGCTCAAAGAGTGATGGCTTAGCCCTGAAATCTTCACCTGTATCCTTGAGTCTAGAAAAAGCAGCTGTGTTTCCTCTTTGGCAGCACTTCAGCTCTTCACCTCTGAATTCAACATTCAGAAAGCTCAGAAATTTTCCTTTTGAGAAAAGAAAGAAGTGGTAACATCGTGTGCCTCTCCACTTTAGTCTCATTTAACAGATATCCCTGCAGGGAATAAGGTTGGGGTGGCAGTATGAAGTTATATTCTGGAGTAAATTAACATTTAGAAAAGAAGAGCACTGCTTAAATTGTCAAAAGAGGGCTGCACCATGTGCTTTTGGGCAGACAGTGGAAGGTGGCCCCTTGTTGTGCCTTTGGATAGGGAGAGCAGTTGGAGAGTCTGGTTGTCCTTGGAGGTGATGGGTGAGGAAGAGTCTGGAGGGAGGCAGGACCTCTCTGAGAGATACCAGAGGCACAGGAATGAGTTGTTGTGCTGAGTACCTTTGCTCCTTGGGGTTGTTCTTTCCAGCTTTCTCTGTAGAAGCCTTTGTCTTGCTGAAATTTCTTTGCTTGGATTTTTTTTTTTTTCCCTTAAATTGTTTCAGCCTTTGAAAGAAAACCTGGCTGAAAGAACGGGCGGTGTGAGATTGGTGAATCTGAGGGTGTGGAGAGGGGGAACCCCTGAGCCCCTCTGCACTTTGCAGGCTGGAGGAAGATTTATCCTTCATGGAAACACTTGTGCAACTTCAGGCAAACCGTGGAGCATTATCATGTTGACACCTAATGAATTTGGAGACTTGTACTCCTGCCCAGGCTTCCCTAAGCCCGGCAATTGCATCGATCACCGCCGTGTTTCATAACTGGCCCTTGCTTGAACTCTTTTTAATTTCAGGAGTGGAGATGAGGTGGGGAGAGGAAATGCAAGGTTGGTGTGTGCGTCAGCTGGAGCAGAAGGGGCTCAGCTTTGCTGTCACAACCCAAACCCGGCCAAGGAGCCGAGAGCTTGGAGGTGAAATCCCGTAAGCGCCGGGAGAGGGGAGCAGGTGGAGCCTGCTGATGTGTTTGTCTTGCTGGCTGCTCCTGAGCCTGCACTTCAGCACCAGCCAGCTGGCCTTGTCCTTAGGTAGCATCCCTCAGCATAAGGAATGCTTGCTCCTGGATGGGGAGTATGGGGAGAAAGGGACTGGGGGGTAAGGAGGAAAGAGATTAATGAATTGGGCTCCCCCTGAGATCTCCCTGGTTTGTTCTGCTCAGTTCAAATCTTGGGGTTGTTCAAGCTGGAGAAGAGGTGTCCTCTATTAGAGGGCATTTCAAGGTGCTTCCTCCTAATTTATCCAAAACTGGAACAAGATGTCCTAGGGTGAACTTACTGTGACATTTTAGTGCACAAAGGGGGCCTTTCAGAAAGGTGGGGACAGACTTTTTAGAAATGCTTGTTGGGATAAGACAAGGGGTGATGGTTTTAAACGAAAAGAGGTTTAGATTAGACATAAGGAACAATTTTTTTGCAATGATGGTGATGAAATGCCAGGTTGCCCAGAGATGTGGTGGATGCCCCATCGTAGGAAATGTTCGAGATCAGGCTGGGTGGTGTGCTGAGCAGCCTGATCTAGTCACAGATATCCCTTTCCATGGCAGGGAGGTGGAGTAGACCTTTAGAAATCCCTTCCAACCCAAATTATTGTGTGAAAAAGTCAGGTGAACGTTGAATTCTGTAGTGCATCAGAGGTGCAAATGCTGTAGCCCCCAATTTACCCTTCCAGCCTGCACTTGTGCTAATCCCTGACCTTTCAGCTGCTCCCGTGGCTCCCTGCCTGTGTCTGGGCTTGTATAAACACCCATCACCTTTTACCTCCTGGGCACACCACACACACCAGGTTCCTGATGTTAATGTGCCCCTTCCGTGGGGGATGTAACAGCTTTTCCAAAGGCGCCAACAAAGCTGTTTGGAAGTCTGAATTGGGTTGGTGCTGTGGGACAGCATTATGTTGGGAGAAGACAAATCACCAGGGCTGGGTTTTTGCCAGGACATAGTAGGGTGAACGCCTGACTTTTTTTTTTTTTTTTTTTTTTTTTTTTTTCCCCCCCTAAACGTGCCATTGCATCTTTAATTACAAGGTTAAGACCTCTGTTTTATGACTCATCTGAAAAAAAACCAGCACCTCCACCATAATTACCTGAGCATGTTGCCGGGGGGACTGTGGCTCATTAGTGACTCAGAGGAACCAGTGGCACCTAATGAAATGGCACTGCCTGCTGTAACACCCCAGCCTTGCCCTTTTCATGCCTGGTCCAAGCAGGGACCAAACCAGTCTCCAGTGAAGTTGTGATGCCAACCCAGGTGATGCTGCAGTTGGGAGGAATTTCTGAGGAAGAAACCAACCAATTCCTGCTTGTTAGACAGCATCAACCTGCAGAAATAGCTGTGCTCAGTTGAAGGAAAAGCAGAGTGTCTTGTTTTGCCCAGTGGAGGATGAACACGTTGCTTCAGGCTCCCTCAGAAGCCATAAGAGGAGTGAGAAATGGGAAAACCATCCTGGTGGGAATGTGGGTTCCTTGGGTAATCTGCCCGCCGAGGCGTATTTTGTTTGTTTCCCTGAAATACGTAAATGCAATCATTGCACAATGAGAGCCTCTTTAAAAACTTTCCTTTGATCATTAACATACTAATCAGTCTGGATGGATCTTCTCCTTCCCTTCCAGGTGGAGGGAAACAATTGACTCGTGTAATGGGTGCCCCTTGGCCACAGTTCGGTGCCGTTTGTTCCTCCAGCCCATTGTTCTGGGATGAACTTTGGAACATTGTGTTTCTCCCTTGCACCAGACACTTGAATTGCCCTCTGGTTTATGTGCTGGCTCTTTTTTTTTTTTTTTTTTTCTCTTTTTCACAGTCATCAGGGTATCCCTTCAGGAACCTGTTGGCACTGGAAGGTCAGAGTGGTGACAAGTGACAGGGCTGGGAGGTGCTGCCGTCAGTGCCGTGACTTTGCATCCGTCATGTGCACCAAGGCTCCCGGGGGACCAGCAGGAATTGTGAGACCTCAAAACGTGGCACACTGTACAAGGGAATAAAGAGCCTGCAACCTGGGAGCCAAAAGTTATGGGGCAGAGAAAGGGTCTTTGGGAAACAGTGTCACACCTCAAAGGAAAAGCAGGAAGCCTAATCTGTAGAACAATGAGGCAGGCGAAACCTCTTTCCTAGTTGGCCCAAATTCATCCCAGGCTTGCGTAGGTAATGTTTGATTAGCCTAATGAAGTGGGGAAAGACAGAGCAAACCTATTCCTCTTTCTGATTGCTTTTTGGCTGGGAAGAAGTGTGTGAAGAGGCAGCATCGAGCCCCAGGTTTCCAAGGGGCTGCTTGGGTGACTCTTGCTCAGGGCTGGAAATCAAGAGCTCTGTTACTCACTGTGAAATGGGCCATGCACCTGTCCAGGGGAGCTGCTGTGCCCACAGGCTGAGCTGTCACCTTTTGTCAGCGTTCAGAGCAGCCAGGCTGGGTTTGGGCACCAGGCTTTGATCACACCTGAGAGCAGGTGCCCCTGTGCTCTGTTACCACTCCAAGAAATGTTCAATACCTGCTTTGCCAGCAGTGAATTGCAGAATTGACTCGGTGCCCCCATTCCTAATAAATGATGGGGACACATCCCTGCTTCTGCTGTGTTTGTGGATTTGCTCTTGCTCAGCATCATTTCCCATTTGTGGCTTCCTCACCAGCCCCTGTTGGTGCAGATGGTGTTGGCTGCAGGACCCCAGCTCAGGAAGTGGGCCAAGGAGGGCTGGAGGGTTCTGGGGCTTATCTTCAAGTGCCAAGCACTGTTGGGGGATATCCCAATGATTAGGAGCAGCAGGATGGGAAGTGAATTCTCATTTTCATCGAAATTGAGTTGTTTTTTCTCAATTAAACTGGTTCTTTTTATCTGAGCACAAAGTACAACCTAGGTTTCATTATGGTATTTTTATAAAAACCTTTCAGATGTTTAGTTTATATTATTGCTGACATACTTGTTCAGGTTTGGTAAATCCCTGAGAAGATCAGACTCGTCCTGATCTTTAGCCTTGCTCTTCTGTAGTCCCAGCCCAGGATGTCTGAGACGTTTTTTCAAGTACTGCCTGTGGCTGTAAAGGAAAGTTCTGGTAAATACTATAACATCAATAAGCAAAAAGTTACATTTACCACATTCAAAAAAATCTGCTGCCTGCAGTATTTTGGGACTGGCTTTGTGCTGTAAAGTGAAGACATTCAGCATTTTGATGATTCTCATGTTTCATTTTTTTTTTCTGTCTTTTCCAGAGTCTCCACCAGCAGCGATGTCAAGAAATGGATACTTCTTTGAAGAGAGTGGCAAGTATTATTTGACTTTTTTGCACACCCACCTTATTGGAAGGAGAGCTGCACTTCAGGGGTAGCTGCAAACCTGACATGGGTGATACAGAATCCATTTAGCTGAAGTGTGATGTGAAACAGTCTGGTGTGGTGGTTGTGTAATCTTGTACTGGGAGCAGGCTCCATGTTTTTAAATCCTGTAGATGTTTGAGATAGTCAGGCAGTAAATAATCAACTCCACATTGTCATCAGTGACTGTTCTGGGTGGCTCCTTGTTTTTCAAGTTCTTTTGTGATGTTTTCCTGTCCTACAGCCTGGCAGGTGTATCTGCTTGTCTTTTTCTGGAGTGGGAATCATGCGTGGGTGTTGGATCCCTTTGGAGACATCCTGCCAAAGAGCATCAAGCAAATGTTGGATTGCTCTGGCAGACACATCTTTTACTGCAAAGATTTATTTATTTTTTTTCTTTGAAGCGAGATTAAATGGTGGCATTTGAAAACTTGGATCATCTGCCTCGAAGATGAGTGAGATCTTGGAGATACTGTACTGACAAAGGAACAGTTGAAGTGCAGTGAAGTCCCATCTCCTCTGCTGATTTTGGAGAAATAGGATCATGGACTAATTTTGGCTGGAAAAGACGTTAAAGATAATCTTGTTCCAACTCCCTGCCCTGTGTTTTCCCCCAAAAATGTGTGTAGGGTACTAGGGAGAGATCTTCTGGAGAGTTCCAGCCTCTTCAGGAAGTAATCCCTGAGGCCTTGGAGCTTCCTGCCCTTGGAAGTGCTGGAAATATTCAGGACTTCCAAATGGTGAGAGGAAAAGACCAAAATTTTCTGGTTATTTAGGCCTTTAGATGCTTGGCTCATCTTTCTTGTTGCAGGGGGCCAGGCCTTAGGTTAACATCTGGAAGGGGAAGCTGAATGTCTGCCAGATGTCAGCTGATCCAGCACCACTGGTGACAGCATTTCCTTTGGCACTGGCTCTTCCCTTCTCCTGAGGCTGGGTTGAGTTGCAGAAGGGCAGAAACTCATGCCTGACCTCGGGGAGGTTTTCTGAGGGGTGTGAGGTCTGGGTAGCTCCGCTCCTTCCCTCCTTCCCACCTCGCCTGTGGGCTCTTGGGATGTGCTTGGTGCTTTCCTGAGGATTGGGAATGTGAGAGGATGACCCAGGTTGGGACGTGGGGAGATGGCTGAGCCCCCAACATCTGCCTGAGGGCAGTGTAAGGTTTGGGGACAAACGCTGCTGGTTTTTGGACACCTACTTCTTCCCAAACCCTTCTGCTACAGGCAACACAAGCCCAGCTATCTGTCCTAGCATTTTATGTGGTTCTGCATGTCTTCCAGGACTCAGGCTTCCTCAAACTATCCCCACAAACAACAACAAAAAACCCCGAATGCAGATCTCTGAATGTTTTTTTATAGTTGTGGCATCCTCTGCAAATCTCTGAGAGCGGCTTCTTCTTTTGTCGATCGGTGCCACGGCAATGGGCATTTCTGCCCTATAATTGTGTTATTACTCATCTTCCTCCTTTGTCTTAAGGAGACAGCACCTTGGAGCTGCCTCTGAGGGCTTTGAGAAGCTGTGTGGTGCTTTCCTGTTGTGTTTCTCTGTGGTTTTGGGGAAGGAGGGGACATTGCTCGCGAGTTCCTCTGTCGGCGCACAGCGCGGAGCGTCGCGCTGTTATTGGAAATGCAGCGGATTTCTTGGTTATTTCACTCTCAAGGCTGCTGTCACCCTTTCTCCTCATGACAAACTGACCTTTTGGAGGAGTTCAGCTGCTGTGGAGTGATGAGTCACCTTCTGCTGCTCGGCTGAGCCGAGGCCTTGGCGGGGACGGACAGCACATCTCGGGGCGCACCGGCGTGAGCGCTCCCGCCCCACCGAGCTGCTCTGGTGATCTCTGTGCAGGAGTTTTGTGCTCTCACATTCTCAAAGCCTTCACCCCCAAACGTCATCGAGGCTGGAGGAAACCACAGATGAAGATGTTACCTTTTCACAGGGTTTCAAAACAGCTTGTTTTGAAATGGAGCTACGAAATCACCGAGCTGCTTTGTGGGCATCTGCCAGGCAAGAGATGCTCTTGTCCCACCTCTCAGAGAATAAAAATCCCCAATCCCTTAATGCTGTGTTGGGAGAGGGCAAACAAAACAAAAAAAACCCAAAAAAACCAACCTCTTTAATTCTGTTTTTTGGGCAATTTCCTCCCTTTTCTCAGCAGAGCAACATCTTTTGATACTCTTGCTCTGCATAGAGTGGAGCTTTTTTCCTTATCTCCTCCTGGGATCTTGCATATACATATGGTTTTCTGTATTCTTAGTAATTAGGATGTTTTTGTTTCTGAGCAGATCTGAGGCTCTGTTCGGAGCCTGAGTCTGTCTTTTGCCAGCTGACTTTTCTTTATCCTTCTTGTGTTCTCAGCAATGTTAAAATCTAAAAGTTGAAATCTCATTTTCAGTTGAAAGGGCTGTAGCGAGGGTGATCTTGGCTGCAGCACCAAAGCAGAGCTTTGGAAGAGCCTCCTGGATGTTTACATCCATAAAAACTTGAAGTGTTTAGTAATTTGTAGCTCTGTTAATTACTGAGGAGCTGGGGAAAGCCCTGGAAGGATTTTCTAGTGAATTAATCTGTGACCATTTGGGAAGAAGTTCAGAAGTTGTTACAGTCCCAACCATCTCCCAACCTAACTAGCTAAAAATCTGGAAAGTTTATCAAGGAGACCACGTCTTCAGCTTTGAGTTCAAGTTTTCCCTTATTTCTTGAAGAACTTGAAAACCACTTTTGTGGCTTTTAGTGCCTTGCATGAGGTAAATGCTTACAATGTAGCTGGGGAAAAAATCTGGTGAGTAGTTTGTTCTGTACTGACAATACTAAGAGGGGAAAAAAAAGGAAATAAATTTGTGCCTGCTCAGCTGGACATTTTTGATTGAGGGTGGTGGCAGCAGATTTGATGACATCTGATGGCTCAACCCATGAGTATTTTCAGTTTTAATCATTGTCCTCTGCCACCTTGCTGGTGAAAATCCATGTTTTTACTCATTTTTTTGAATCTCTGGAACAAACCCCTTGCACAAACAAACCTGGCAGGGCCTGGAGGTAATTGGTGTCCCCCTCCCTGCGTGTCAAAGTCACTTAAATCTTCTGTAAGGTTGTTTTGACAAATGAATTTTCTTTCTGGCGAATTTAAGTGAGTAATGAGATGAGTGTGTGGCACCAATGCAAACCTGGGGATAATTGGAGTCCTGATGAAAGGCAGCTCAGCAATCAGGGCTCAGGATTAACTCATCAAGCCCCCCATTGTCTCCTGTGAGCATCCTGCACCCTCCTCGTGGAGGTGAATGAGCTCTGAGGCCCTGGAATTTACCTGCAAGTGATTAAATTCTGCCAAAATTACGATGGGGTTTTTAACTGAGCCAAGAACTTTCCCTGATAAGTCACAAACCCAGAAGTTTTCTGGTTCCTCTTGCAAAATCCAAGGGAAGGAATCCCAGTGCAGTGCTGGGGATATCTGAATTGTTGCATTGTTTTAAAGCTGGCTCAACAGATCCTGCAGCATAAATTTATTTTTTTTTTCCTGGTCTTCCAGAGCAAATCCCTCACTGCTTGGTCTCCTCTGACTTATTAATTGGTTTTGCTGGCACAATAAATCACAGTTGTGTTGAAGGGCCCCAAGGCCCCAGTCTGGCTTGGGATGTTTGGATATATTTTATCTGCTTGTTTTTGTTTTTCAGTTTGCAGTTCAGCTTGGTATGTGTGCTGGGGGGGTTTTCTCTTTCTTCGTTTTCTTTTTTTTTTTTTTTTTTTGTATTTGACTTTATCTGTCTTGGAATTGTTTGCTTAAGTAGGAAATTAATCTGAATGTTTTTGTGAAACAAATCCTTTCCCAGTGGATGCCCATTTTGCCAGCAGGAGATGAACTGCTGCTACCTGTGGGAGAGCACGAGGGGATGGCCCACAGGTCTCTTGTACATTTTTATTTCTGGAATTAGAGGAGGCCTGTAATAAAAAAATAAAAGGAGCAGGAGCACCCCTGATTTCTGAGGGTTCTACTGCAAAACTGACACTCCACGTGCTCCTGTGTTCTGTAAAAACAAAACAAAAAAAGCCCCAACAACACTCCACTGAATTAGTTGGATTATTCACAACATTTCCTAGAAATCTGGCTGCAAAATACAATACTGGAATTAATTCAAAAGTGCCTGGGTGTTGTTTGTTTTGTTTTTTTGTTTTGTTTTGGAGGGTTATTTTATTTTATTTTTTTTTTTTTGCTGCAGCAGATCAGCTCTTGGAGTTCTGTTATGAATTATCACTGGAGTGGCAGGGGAAGCTTGATGTTTTCATCTGGCTCCTCGTGACAAAAGGCTGGAGTTGGGTTGGGAAGATGCAGCTGAGGTTATGGTCAGCCACTGGTGCAGGGATCTGGGAGAGCTCTGCTCTTGGTGACTCACCTGCTCTGCACTTTCTCCCTCTGGTTTGGATTTTTTTTTTTTTTTTTTTTTTTTTCTCCCAAGAGGAGGTTGTGGTTTAATCTTTGCTCTTGAGCTTAGGTAATGGATTGACATCATCGTGGCAGGTGGTCATTGCTCCAGAAAATCTGTATCTGATGGGCTCCCAGGGAGTGCTGGAGAGCCAAGAACCATCACCCACCACTTCCCTGGCTCCTCAGGTACCTGTGGAAGGTCTGGCACTGGGGGACACTTCTCTAAATCCCATCTCCGTGATCTGAACATCTGGGCCAACCCAAATTATTTGGCTTAAACCTAGAGTGATTTATTTGATTTGGGGCCCTAAAGAACATCTCTTCCACCCCTGCCATGGATAGGGACACTTCCCACTTCCAACCTGGCCTTGGACCCTTCCAGGGATGAGGCAACGACAACTTCTCTGTGAATCTTAATGAAGGAGTTTTTCTAACTGTCCTGGTTTAGGACAAATTTGGGAGGAAACCTTAGAGTGAGGTCCTTTTGGAAAAAAAAAGAAAAAAAATTGGAGGGAAGTGGAAAAAAAAAAAGAAAACTGTT